AAAATTGGGCAAAGTCGTTAGATTAGGGAAACATACAAAAAAAGGGGAAATATTACACAAAATATAAAAAATCTACATGAAAATTACAACATCAAGTAAGGCACCATAACACGGAAACCTTTTCTTCTTTTATATATGTTAATGATTTAATGACAAAAGAAAATTATTTTTATTTTAATTCAGCTAATAATAGAAAAATACATAAATAATTTATAAAAATATCCCTTAAACGAAATTGCGGCCAAATCTGGCCGCAATTTGCAATTGTGATTCAAAAATTACAAAAAAAGGTATTTTCCTGCGGTCTCACCACAACCTTTCTTATTTGATAAATGATATTCAAAACACCCTACTTTAATTAAAAAAATTTCGTTTGGGGTTACATATTACAAATAAAGAAATAATATAAAAATTCCTTGAAATTTTCTTTGCTGATCATTTTATTATAAAACAAAATTCCGACGGAATTTGAAATCCTATGGAATACTAATTAAAGGACATTTCTAAAATCATTATTGTTAATTAACTGCTTATTTTTATTGATGTTTTTGTGTTTTGGAAAATAGACATAATAAATTATGGAATTAATACTACATGTGGAATTGAAAATTCCCGAGTTTGTAAATCCAAATCCTTTAATGAATTCATACTAAATTTATTATAAATGCCAGAAGTGTAAGAGACTTCAGACAAGTAAACTAAAACAAATACTCCAATAAAAATCAAACAATTTTAAATTTAACAATTAATTTTAATTTCCCGAAACAACTACTTTTTAATAACAAAAATCAAAATGAACCAAGAACAAAATGCTAATATTCTTGATTCCGATAATGGATATTATATTGCTAGTATTACAAGAATATGGGTGGGCTTTATGATAATGAGTTATCTGAAATTGCTATGTAGATTTCCACACAAGAAGAGAAAGTTAATGTTTCGTTAATTATTTTATTCATTTTTTTTATTTATTTATTTATTTAAATTTGGTTACACGATCTTATGTAGTAGTTTATATTAAAAAGTCAAAAATTGTAGCCTAAATTGGCATCATTATTCTAAGTAAACTTGTTAATTAGAACATATATGATTACATATCTTACGGTTTTGGGCCTGGTTTTAAATGATGAAATTTTTTACTAATCGCAACTTTTCAAAAATCCAAAAATTAATTTTTTTAAAAAAATACATTTATTTCGGTACTAGTAAACTTCAACAAAAGAAATTAATTTATTAAAAATGAATATTTATACATAAATTTTATGGCCTTTTCCATCTAAAGTCAAAAAAAAAATGGAAGTCAGTTGGTAATTTTTTTGTTTATTAGGGGTCTACATTTTTTTAAAAATTGCGGCCAAATCTGGCCGCAATTTCTGTTCGTTTAAGGGATAAAAATAACGAGATATTTTTTAAAAAAAACTCATGTGACACGAATTTCGAATTTATTTTCACATATTAATATTAATATTAATATAGAAAAGCAAGCCTCAGGGAAATGTCACACGACTATTGGACATTTTCATGATTTGCGGAAAAATACATAATTTTACTTATTATTATATTAATATTATTACCTACTAGAAAAATTCAAACACATTTGAATTTTATGATAGTTTAATTTTTTTTATTAATTATATAATACAAACAAATATTAAAGATACAATTGTTGAAATAATAAGTATTTAATAGCAATAATTATTTCTGAACATTAATAGTAATAAATTTAAATTTATGTCCAGTTTTATCATCCCTTAAATGAACTTTGGTCCAAATCTGAATTCAATATTTTACAACAAATAAAAATGTATATGGTCGATCCCTAATCAAGTATTTTTTAAAAAAATCGTGCGATCCCAGACGGTAATTGTTTTAAAATTGAAGTATGTAAGGAAGAGATAAGGTCACTGTGTTTTAACCTGCAAATTGAAGGTGTGTCAAACGCCAAGATCTTTCCATTAATTTCGATCTCTACATAATTATTCCTAACAGAATCGTTTCTGAATATCATATTCTTATAAAATCAAAGGAATAATTATTTGTATTTGCATCATGTAACTACGTGATTTTTTTTTTCACATGTCTATTTATTTGATCAAAATGTATACAAGGAGTAGAAAAATATATACAAAAAGTACAAAAAAGAAATCTATATATTTACAAAAGATAAACGTTGATAGTAGAGGTTGGAATCGACTAAAATAGTCGACTAACTTTTTTTTTAAACAACTAATAGTCGACTAATACTAATTATAATTATTGTCTGGCCAATTATAAATGAAAACGTTTTTTGTGGTACAAAAAAATTTAATGGAAAATAATAAAAATAAATATGCGGAGTATCAATATTATGAAGAAGATGATAATGGTGTTGGCGATAATTATCCATGCGAAATAATAAACATTGATACAAGGTCAAATCATTCCAACAATTCGTTGGCTTCGAGCTCAAGCAGTGGTTCCAGACCTTTAAAAAAACGAATTATAACATATAGCTTCGTATGGAAGTATTTCGAGAAAATTAAAGATTCAAATGGAGATGAATTTGTAATCTGCAAATTAAAAAAAAAACGTTAATATTAATAATAATGAAACAGAATGAATATTCTAATTAAATAGGATGTTATTCCCGTGACTAGCGTGTGACCATTTTGCGAAGCAATGGTTACACGCTAGTATTAAAAAAATTTAGTCGACTAAAAGAAATTTTGACCAACTAGTAGTCGACTAGGGATTTTTTAGACGATTCCAACCTCTAGTTGATAGTAATCCCACAGATAAGACTTATGATGGAATATATATATATATAATATGAAAAATTTGTTAAAAAAAAAGAAGCAAAAAATATTTACAAGAAAATTTGACCATATCCAATAAATCCGCACAAATTTTTGTCTCATCAGTGAGAATAATATCGTATACTGATGTATCCCATGCACCATGCGTGAAACCATATTCCCACCACGACACCGATCACCTCATTTGGAGAACTCCCTCCAATTCATTCACGGCCAGATGACCTGCAAATAGAGATGGGCAAATGGCGTATAGTTGAACACTATACGACACTATACGATACTTTACGTATAATGCGTATATATAGTACGTATAGTACGTATAGTAGTGTTGAAATTTGATTGGGTGATTTTCCAATGTAATACAAAACTGAATAATA